GAGAAAACTGTCTGATTTAGAATTATGCCACCGATCGTAAAAATAGTTCACACAAGAATGTGCCCAATATTGAGAGTACCTATAAGAAATAAACTCGGAGAATCGTTAGCACAGTCCATATTTCACCACTGCAATAGTGTATTATTCATGCCAGAGGACAAACTGCACACAGTCACATACTTTCATCTGGCTACGCGCACAAACAGGAATGATCCTTAACCTGGATGGTAGAAAAAGAACTGTCCCCACCCCCATCCTGCCCTCCGACTGGTAGAACCAATTGCGCTGGTGTTCGGATGCTTGATTGCGAAAGCATCTTTGCACTGCATAATTCATTGCGAGGACGGGGACCGTCAAACTGTATCGATACAGAGATAGATACTTTTAACTACTTAAACCTGGAGGGCATTTACAGGCGCGTAAACGGTAGCGGGAAATTCTAAGAACAGAGACGAGACCTAAGAGTGAGTCGGATATGTTTCCGGGTACGGACGGCGATCAGAGATTGAATTGAAGGAAAACATCCATGTTTCGTGGTGATATGGAGATGACAGATCAATTGTTACCGATTAATATGTTACCGGAATCAGTGCGCCGGGTGTGAGGTGTCACTTCCAAACATCAAGGAACGACAAAACAGTTCAGTTTAAATACACCAAAAACAGTGCCTGCAAAATTTAAGTGTACCTTGCTGAACATAACAGCCACTTCGATGAGGAGGAGCGGAGTCAAAGCAAAACACTCATTGGGAAGAAGGACTGAAACGTCATAGAAGTGATAGAACAAAGTGGCCGGGCCATTCATAACGAGCTTATTAAACAGGAACAGGTGATGAAAATCAAATCACCGCGATTAAGAGAATAGTGTCAAATGGAGATTCATATCAGCTAAGAGGTTGAGTTTTTCACCAACCGAAAAGAACCCAAGACATGCAGAGATCCAAGAGAGAAAGAGGGACAGTCCTATTATCCTCATACGCACATACCCCAGGCATTCTCGGGCAGTTGCCGGAACATATTTTCCGTTTCAGTTTAAACAATCATTAACCATGCACTTTCGTACAGCAGTTTTGGTTGCTGTTTCTTGGCTTTCCATTTGGTTAGAAGAAGTAATCTCTCTACACCACCTACGATGGCTTGGTCACGGTTTGCGTATTCCTGCTCATCGATTAACCCCCCCCCCCCCCTCCCGACCTTGCTTTCTGTGCAAGTGGCAGGCAAGGTTGGAAGAAGCACCGCGACGAGCAGACCAAGACATTGGCGTAGTGGTATTAAGAAGCTGGTTTCAGCTTTAGCTTTTAGCAGCCCGCCTTCAGGGGTGGGGCCCAAAGAATGACGACTGCCGTTGTTTAGAGACGCTGAGAGACATGGCTCAGGACAGAAGTCAGTGGAGCGAATACTGTACAGTCTAAATGGTAAAATCCCGTGCCCCATAAAGAAAACAACAATAAACTAAAACAGGAAAAAAGTATTAACTGTAAGGTAAAACAAACAACTCAATTGCTATTTTCGTTAATCGCCTACTTTTATTCTCTACTGGATCTCAACCTCTCATGTGCTGTTATTCTTGTGGTTCCGTTGGCACCAAGCTTGCTCGCAGGCAGGTGATAGATTATATCTGAATTGAGGGAAGGACACTAGCCTGTCTGTTGTATTTTGTAGAGCCCCAAACCGAGGTATAACATTTCCGTGGGAACAATCGTGATCCGTTGCAGATTAGCATCCGGATTCATCTCCCCTGGGGCATCCGCAGGGGACGCGTAAATGTTGGATGAAATTCACTCGTCTATTGACTCACCATAGCAAAGTTGGTTTGGCATGTGGTTTAAGTGATTGATATACAGACAGATCAGACCAGTTTCACCAACTATCGACACCAACAATTCAGTATATTTCCAAAGGGATTTGGGGTGCACGAATGAATTTTAGGAGACCAATGTATAGTATGTGAGATACCCTGGATATCCTCAGATTAAGCAGAGCTGAATGCTACTAGGCGCATACCTGGGTTGAGGATAAGGGGACACCTTCATCGAAGAAGGTTAGCTGTGAATATGTAGTGGTATACCCCAACAAATAACGTCTCTCGTACAAAACTCCCAAGTAACTTTGTGATCATGATCATGGAGCCGGTTTATGCTTTCCAAGCATCCAGCCGTAGTAAAAAAATGTGAGATACAGGACAAGGAGATACTTTTTTGAGTTTTCCAACTCCGTGTATTCCGTTTAAAAAATCAATAGTTCACGTAATCCGACAGAGAATAGATTGGGGTGTAGGCGGGGTCGGCGGAGTTAAAATTGCACAAAAACACGAGAACCACAAGCTGAGCTACGAGGGCCATATTTACCGCTCCGACTTTTCTCACCTGAACTACGACCGTTCTGTTAGAGAGAAAAAATATAACCTATTAGAATTCAGTGAATGCAGTAACTAGCGAGTGACGAAGATAAAAATGTCTACTGATGGGAACGGGATGCGCGTATATTGATATTTGGAAGAGTAAACTTTAATCGCCTCAGCAAGTGCGACAGTTGATGAAGTCACGATCGGAGCGCATCAAACGCTACCGTCGAACAAACAGATCAGAGCATCCACCTAAGGATTCCCCATTCGCTTGATTCTTTTTCGTCGTGTTTGTTGTTTCACGCTACTCAACCAGTCAAACAGGTGGTTATTTAGAATTTATCTTTAAAAAACCTTGACTCCAAGCGTCACATGTTGAGCAGCACAACAGAACCACACTATGGCCCATCGGACGCAGTGATTAATCCATACAATTTGTTGGGGTTCCCTAAATTCATGTTTGTGATTTCCAAACAAAACACATGCTCTCTGTTAAGATAATTAAACTGCTGCGAGTGACGTAGGATCCAGAGAGAAGTGATCTAAATAGAGTAGGACCAACAGGTCAATCGGAACTAATAAAAATAGCCAAAAACAAAACAAGGGTTTGTAATCGGAAGAGATTGAGCTGATGAACACAGCAAAGTTAGGTAATCGTGACGAATTTCTTGGTTGTGAACAGTCGGGAGTAATTACTGGTCATCAAAACACTGTATTTCATGTGAAGTGAGAACGCACAAAAAGGAAGTGGCTAGATATGGCAAAGTGTAGCACTTGGCATATGAAAAAAGCCTCAAAAGCTCAGCATGGTCGGAGGATCGGGTGTCTAGGGTTGCGGTTGGTCACCCTTCCATTGCACCTCGCGAAATGCCCCCATACGACCAAGCGTCTCAAACAGCCTCTGCTGAGGAAACCCTACTCACTGCCTTCTCGTGGCGGTGTTTTCCCACCAAAGTGAGAGGAAAAAAAGCCAACATCCGGGACTATAACCGGGTTGGTGAACCACTGGCAGTTCACCTAGGGGAATTGGTGAAAAACCTTGATTCCAAACCAAGCAAGAGGAGGTGTAAGAACCACACTCACACCTTCCTGGCTGTGGCAGTGGTCACCGGCTCGATTGGGCATTGAGGTGTATTCGGCACCTTGGACGTCTGACCCCGCGTTCGAAGGACGTATGATCCGATCAACTGGACACCGGCTCCCAATAGATTGCGGTTTTCACACACCGCCCCGCTGCCTTGCTGGTCGGGCTTTGGGTTAGCCAAAAGCTCCGGGTGTGGATTCCTCAAGAAAATTCACCTGCCTTGGCTTGACAACCTGGCAGTATTCCGCCCAAGTGCAACTCATGAAATGCTTTTCTTTTTCATAACGATTATTTATCGTACCG